TAGGGACGGCTAGCGCAGATAGCCCTCGTGTAGCTTTGCACGAAATTCAAAAACAATAACAATAACAATTAATAAATTATATACTTTTTTATATACGTTAATAAATATGTCATTATTTTCAGATTTTCTTTTCTTTTTCTACTCAATGGAAATATCTTTCTGAATTAAACTTTAACATCTAAAACTGAACTCGACACTGAAATGATTCAACACATGATATTGTAAACAATATATGTGGCATCCATAGTATATACACAGCATATTTTAATTTTGAAATGTTGACTTAGACCCATGGGTTGTAAATTAAAATGCGCCATAGTTAGCATGTTTGTTTAATTCTACAAATGTATAAATGCTGATTTAGTCCTCCATACAAATGATACATTTCTAGCAATTGCTTTAGTCGTAGCAGTAGTTTACCTTCATTTTCTCACAAAGTTTACCCAGGATATACAGCTACAATTATTCCTTGGTTAATTTCAATAGAATTAGCTGTATATGCATATAATAATCAATAATATAATATATAATAAAATATTTTTTCAGTTTGACTCTAGGACGTACACACAAATGCTTTTATATGCAAAAATGACTTCCAGTTGAAGTTCTTTTTTCTTCAATGCAGATATTATGCCATCGTGAAGACAATGAGTTATACTCAAACCATCACACAGTTCAAGTCCATGATGATCCTTGCGGGGGCCTGGCTTCATGCTTTATTATGCAGTTCTCCATCCTTACTTGGATGGATAGAGTAAGTAAATTTGATTTCCATATCGAAAAGAAGAGAATGTTTCGCTCAAATTTTTAGTCTGTAAGTATAATCACTGTTGTATTATAAATTATAAATCAATATTGTTTGCAATTTTTTTTATTTTGGTCTTAGTTTTTCTATGTAAATGAAAAAGTCGTGACGCTAATGATTCATATTATCAAATAAACTTTTCATTCGTGACCCCTCTAGATATTGCATATGACTTGCACTCAAGGTCTCTGTAAACAAAATTTACTAAGCTTTATCTGGGATGGAAACCCTCCATTATGTACTACGAATATCATAAACCAGTGACTTTTCTCCTCTCTTAATCGATTAGGTCCTTAATGCATCTTACTCGACAGCCACAAGTTGTTTGTACGACATAAAAGTAAAGTTTTATTTGCAAAGTATTAAATTAAATTCAAACTGTGGTTCTTCTAATCTGCTGAATATTTCAGTGGAATTTGTTTATTGGCTGTAACCGGAAAGTTCTCAGTACGGAAAGATTGAAAGGAAAGTTCAACATATTTGCAACTTCAATTACTTCATTTTGTCCAGCAGATTTTGTTGGTAAATAATAAAGTTTGACACAAAGGCTGCACGTGCTTCTTGTCCAGCATCATCACTTCACACAGTGTCTTACTTCATATTTTTAGACATAACAGCGTATGTGACAAAAGCCACCAAGTCTTTGTCATCTGCCTTGAAAATATTTGATTCTGCAATAAACAGTTTTAGTTGATATATCTTATTTCGTTATTTTTCACGACAGTTTGGAGAGTTGATCATGATATTTTCTTGTGGACTTAAGTAGTCTTGAGAGTTCCAGCGCAACTAGAAAAAGGCCTCAACAATATTGCTGGTGGATGAGCGATTTCTTTCATTCTACCAAGTACTTTAATCTTTTTGTTTTCTTGTTTTAGTACATGATCAATTCCAAAGTTGCGAAAGGATGTGCAGCTCTTATTCACACAGACATTTTTCTTTTTTGAAATTCTTACACACATGTTGTCGAAGGTTTTTTGTGCAACACCTTCTGGCACATGCCGCGCATACTTCATATGATTCACAGCTGAAAAATGTATGTATAATTTCTCAAGAGAGACCAGTTTCTAGGTCATAATCCTTGGTGTGTAGGTTTAATAAATTGAAGCCAGGACAGAATCTTGCTTACGTACACCCAAACTACCTTAAAATTTGGTCGTGAGTTGTTCTTCAGAGAAATGATTACATTTTGTATGTACAATCTTTTGGGTCTACGTTATTGGACGTAACATGTTGAGAAGTTTTCGTACAGCATCAATGTCGTTTTGAGCATACAAGTGAATCAGGAGTTTACAAATACCTTGAATAATTAAAATAAGCTCTGTGATTTTTTTCAACGAAGGTTTTAAAGAAGAGATCACACAATACTTCTATTGTTATAATGTATGCATGTATTGCACATTTTACTTGATTTGCCTAGTAGTAGTAGGGTCATCGAGGTCGGCTTCTATTCAAGCATAGGGTAGACTATTATATTTAACAAATGCTTCCATTGCTTGGATGCAGTATTGTGTAAAACGCTCCAACGCATAGAATATAATTTCCCTTGTAGTCCCCAATTGGTGTTGTCATCTTAAGAACACACATGTACAAGTCAATGTCCAGTGTGAATATTGTTTTACTTTCACCACGAACGACATCAGCACTAATGTATTGTACCTGTTTCAAGAAGTAACCATGGTCTGCCACTTTTTGACAAGTGCTGTTATGATGGGAATAGTATTTATAGATAAGAGTGGCACCATTGTTTCTTAGAAACAAAGGAATTATATCCTGTCTAATCACAAGCACATTATGTTGTCCCCTTGTTGAAAATCATTCCAAGATGTTCCCATTGACAACCCTGTGCTTACGGGATAGCTGCAGATTTTATTACCTGAAGAAAATTGGGTATTCTTGTGGGTAAACCAACCAATGTTTTCCTGCAAGAAAATGCTAGAAAAATTCTCATTCTCTTACAGCATTGGGCTTTTCTTTGAGAGAACATGGCAGTAGATATACACTGGTGCTAGGGATATTATTAACCAGATTATGTGATACCCAACCAGTAAAATCAAACTTTTTTATTCTGAAAAGTTTTCTTCATATTTTGTTGGAAAAATAAAAATAATTTTCCACGAATTGCGCACTTTTCATTTGCTCTATCTTTTTTTTTTAGCTCCCATTGCTAATGATGCTAAGATTCATATTGTCTAATAAACTTTTCATTCATGACATCTTTAGATACTACATATGACTTGGGCTCAAGTTTACTTTAAACAAAATGTACTAAGCTATATCTGAAAATATATGATCACGCATGGGATGGAAACCCTCTATTACGTAAATCATAAACCAGTTATTTTTCTCCTCTCTTAATCGGCTAGGTCCTTAGTATGTTTCACTCGACAGCCGCAAATAGTTTTATAATGTATAAAAGTAAAGTTTTATTTACAAAGGATTAAACTAAATTAAACTTGTGGTTCATCTAACATGCTGAGTTTTTTGTGGAATTCATTTATTGGCTGTAATCGAAAGGTTCTCACTACGGAAAGATTAAAAAGAAAGTTTAAAATATTTTTTATCTTCAGTCTATTCATTCTGTCCCATAATTTTTCTACTAAAAATTCAGCATACTAGGTAAAACCGCAGTTGTCTTAGTGGAACAGTCACTCTATTTTTCAGTCTTTCAATCATATCAACACGTATTTCATTTGCATGAAGGTATCAGACGTTTGCTTTTTGTGGATTTTCACATCATCTATCAAGACTTGAACATTTGTTGTAAAGTATGAAGAAAACGTGGTCTCTTGGTTTCTTGTCTTTTTTTATTCCACCTGGTACTTGATTTACTGCACCAAAACATTGCAAGTTCTTTCGTTTTCTAAGAAACGATCTTCTGTTCTCAGTTCTCTTACAGTATCCTGAATAACCACTTTGAGTCTGTAGTAGGTTCCTAAAAGATGGTCTGATATATTTGCTGGACATTGTAAGGAGAGTGACGTTACCAATGACAATATTTAAATTGTAATTTATCATGACACGTTCCAGCACTTTTTGGTGAACTGTGTTTAAAAGGAATTTCACTATCATGAAGCTCCTTTTTTCCTGGTGTTCATCCACTGTAGCATGTTTTAGTCTTACCCAAATTGTTGGGTTATCATTCTAACTAAAGGTAGTACAGCAGACGTAAGGAATTTGGAATATGGGTTCTGTACAAGTTTTCCACTAACAATTACTAGATTAAAATCTATAGTTCCTTCTAAATGAAATATTTCTTCTTATTAGATCAGCCATTGGGAATCATGACCTTCAAAAGTACAGCAAAATGACATATATTCATCAATAAGCTAGATTAACCACAGCCACTGAATGACACATATTTGCAAGTTGGAAGTACCTCTTTGAAGACGGGTGCAATTCTTGTATGTCATGATTTTTGGTGACTTTCATATAACCTATATACTGAATAAAAATTTTCCATCAAAATTTTTTGTAAAAAGCATACTCTGACGAACATTTGTGTGTGTGTGTGGTGACAAGAAGTTTTAAAACATTCCCAGTAGAGTACACCTATGTATATTCAAAACAAAGTTGTACGAAATGTACATTTTTATGGGGAAAGACTTCTATTATCTGAATACAGTTATTTTCAAAGATTCAATTTTATTCAAAATACCTTTATATGCAAGTAAATTTGTCCTATAATATAAACTGTCAGATGTCGAGTAGTTAATGATATATTATTTTACAGAGCACATATGAGTAATTAATTTTTTATATCCATGCTAGTCATTTAAAATCTAACCTATATAAAAGCCAGTGTGTGTCATGTCGCGCTTAATTCCTCTTACTTTCTCGAAATAGGATGAGTCATAAAAGTCAAAATTCACTTATCCAGATAGAGTAGTTTGATTACTGTCTACCCATTACGATTTTAGTGACGGGGGTGCAAGGGCGTGGTGAAGGTGGGTGCCGTGAAACCTTATAAGTGTAATGAGTGTTGGTATAATAAGCCTAAAGTAAAGACGTAATGTGGGATCACCTAGCCTAGAGCCAAGTGCATGAAAGTAAAAATATCGATTCAATTTTAAACTTAAATCGTTTCTGAATTAAGATATTTTCTGTTATATCACCAACGTTTTTAATAAAAAACAAACCTCTTTAATCAACGGAGACTCAAAATTAAGAAATCTATATAAATATAATAGTACTGTCTGTTGTATGTTCATGTAACTACTTCATAGAGTGTGCATGGATCTTCACCAAATTTGGTATGGAGATTCATTGGATCCATGAGAATATACATACAAATTTTCAGTTTTGCGTTTTTTTATGGGCGTTTTTTACCACTACTTCTTCTCCGGTGTATGTATCTTCACCAAATTTGGTATGGAGGTTCAATGGGTCCATGGGAAGATGCATACAAATTTTCAGTTTTTATAGGCGTTTTTACTACTCCTTCGCCCTCTGTTGATGGATCGTTACCAAATTTGGCATGATCGTTTGTTGAATCAATGCGGAGATTTGCGGTTTCACATTTTGTGTTTTGTAGTTTTTTATGAGCGTTTTTGCGTTTCTTACAATTACACATAAGGGAAGCAACTTTACATGTCCTAAGATAACCTTTAATTAATCATGAATTTACATAACTTCCATCCAGGGGACGGATGCTCCAGTTAGTCAACAAATATTTTTCCAGTTTTATTGTCCATACATTTCATTTTATACGTTCAGTACCACAATATTAAGCAACATGACATTAAAGTCATTGTTGGAACGTAGTGTTACCAAAATGCACTGGCTTTTCTATATATTAGAAGTTGTTAATCTAACAGATTTTTACCAATAGTTATTATATGAATACACCACGAATTCATTTCATGAATGAACTTAATTTTGATTGGTTCACAAAGGAATTTACTACGTTTGACTGCCTAGACTGCACTTTTCTGCCTCTTTGTTGTTCAAGCTTGATTTCGCAATATTTAGTTAGCTATGAAAAGTGGGATTAGGGTGTACTATGGGGTGTGGGTGGTAGTACTTGCTCCGTTATTTTTAACGGGCTATACGCTAGTTAACTATAATTCATTATTATGTATTTTTATCATTTAAACTAAACCTATTTATTCTAAACCATTCAAATAATACAATATTAACATTTCATTATGTTTTTATTTTGTAGTAAATGCTAAACATGTATCATAAGTTATATTTATTCAACGTTATGCGTTTATATACGAACTAAATTAACAGCTGAATAACTTTCATCTATATAAACACATTGTTCCTTATTTGTTAAGCAGTTTTTGAACCTTAGCTACTTGACGCTTAAATCTAATTATATAATAATACCAGTTAAAAAATAACTACTCAGAATGTTGTGATCCAATAAATAAATGATAAAACTATATATATGTACACTGTGGAACTTTTTTACTGTAAACTTTCTCGTCATAGAGAGAATTAAACACTTCTTTAATTGATTAGCGGTCCCTACATGTTGTAATACACCTTATAATAATACTATTGTTCTCTTTTTACTTTGCAGGTTATCCTTCAATCCTATATCAGCCACGTGTGAACCTAGCTGGTGCGAACATTCAGTTTATACTCTCTACGTGGGATTGATGTGTTTCGTATTCCCTTTCTTGATAATGCTATTCTGTTATGTAAATATATTCTTGGTAGCACGGAGTAAGTACCGTAAGGTTGGCATGGGAACGATTAGTAGCAGTGTGTCTTCAGGAAACAGAAGAGATAGCACTTTAAGGCCAGTTTCAAACACTGAATTAGACATGAGTCGTTATACTGTGAGAAAACAGTACTGGTATACACTAAACTATAACTCACAAATAAAGGGGATTGCCATAATTTTTACGATTATTGGTACCTTTCTGTTTACCTGGACTCCTTACGTAGTAAACATTTTATGGAAGATAACCAATAGAAATATCGAAGTTCCAGATTGGTTTTCCAGGCTTTCATTCTGTATGGCATTCGTTTGCTCGATAAGTTATCCAGTAATTTATGGACTTCTGAATAGATCAATAAGAAGTGATATGCGCAGTATTTTGTGTACACAAAGACATTTCCCTCAGAGTTCGTTGGAGTTTTTTCGGAGAGTTCATTCAGATATGGGCCTTTCAGAACACCTTAGGCCAGTACAGAGCAGGGTACCACAACGGTCTATATCTTACGATTGTGTTGACATGTCATCTCTCAACCGAAGTGCCATCCATGGCGCTCATTGTAATTCCAGTCATGATTCAGGTGATTATTTTCTTTAGAGGAAGAATTACTTATTCAGTGCACAGATACGCAATGTCAGTTTTGTTTCTGCTTCATAGAAAGATGAAGTTTTTTTTTTTATTTAAAGAGGAATATTTAAGAAAATTTTTTCCGATAATTCCCAACCATTCCTCTGTTAGGAAAGATACTTTCATGATAATTAGAAAAATACAGGGAGAACACCATGGAAAAATTAATCTGTAAAAGTATAACTACTCTTGAACGAATATAATTGACCATATTTTAAAGTACATTTTAAAAGATTTGTGTTAACACTGTTTTCGATATTTGTCTCTCTTGTAAAAAAAAAAATGTTTTACTTTAACTTCTAATTGCATTAAGAACAATATGTTTTGTCATTTTCAAAACAAGATCTTATGTTTTTACATTTTTTCAATGCCATGTTATTTTCTTCAGAGGAAAGCGGTAACTGTTCTGAGCCATTGTTTTTAGTATAAAGTAAACCAATAGCCATTTAAAACAAAAACAGTTAACAATTCTATAATGTTATGTTTCTAGCATGTATACTCAGAACATAATGTCACAAGGTGAGGTCGTTTTGTGGAAAATTTTGATTCCATACCGAAACCACAACTAAGTAAATTGGTGTATTTGTAAAGAATGACTAATATGCGGCAGTACAGAAGAACAAAAAAAGCTTCACTTCCTCTAATAACGTACATTACGTTTTAAATTCTGTATGTACAAAATTCCTGTAGTAATCAACTATATTGCTGATAGTCATTATTATTTTTCTCTTACATTTATTTTTAATTTATTCTAATTGCTTTTAACAAAGACGATACATATTTTAGAGAATTCAACCAAAGGCAAGATAGCTGTACAAACCCCTAGAAAATTTTCGTATAACCATTCATATTTAATTTACTCAGTAAATAACTCTTTAAGTAATCTAAATTTCCTTGAACATGAAATTTTGTTGGCATGCATATATATCTATAAGTAACTGTTTGTGTTAATTAATGGTAAATAAGAGCAACTTCAACTTGATTAAGAAACAACACAAAGTATAAATCAGTGAATGTAAAGCATTCCCCAATTTTTACTTTTTTTTAAGGTCAAATGAAAAAGTACATTTATATACGTCTTAACAATAATGTATAGAAAGTTCTAAGTAGGCTTGTGTTTTTAAATATATACTTATTTCTGCAATAATTAATACAAACATAATTATTAACACTGAATTAGACGACAATCTATCCCATTTTTAGCTTATCATTTTCGGAGCTTTTATTATTTGGATTAGTAGTTTTTGATTTTGTTATTTGGTTTAGTAACAAATTGTATTTTTCATAAAAACATGAACGAAATTAAGTTTATTGTTCCAAGATAGTAAAATAATTTATCTATATTTATATTTTGCATTTGTTGGCTTTCAAATAATCAAAATCATTAATTAAGTTTTTAATGTTTGTTTTGTTTAGTATTTCAAGTAATTAACAACAATTTTAACTTATCTTTTAAACGTTTAATATTTAAATTTTATAATGACTCCTAAAAGTGGATGTTAAATGTTTTACCGAATCACTTTTAAAAGTAGTTAACTTTTAATGAAATATTTTATGAATTGACCTTTGATAATGTTTTTAATTTGTTTAGGGACTATCATCTCGTTAATTGGTGAAAATAACTCGGGAATGACTCCTCCTTGTACTATGTTACCAGCTGAGTTAGTTATATCTGGAAGTAATCTGAAGACACCTTTTCAAAAATATCATTATTGTAGAAAAAGATCTTGGACAGAGCTGACGTTTCAAAAAACTGACTTACACGAGAACAAAGTTAAAATCCCAAAGTAGTTGTGTAACATCTGAGGGTAACATCAGTACACACTCAAAGATTTGCACAATATATCAGAATAATAGTTGTCATGATCGACCTCTTGCTACAGACATTAATGCTACTAGAAACAACTTAAATCACTCAGACATGGCAAGTAAAGGTCTTGGGGTATATGAAGATGAAATAGTTTCTGTTTCTTATCAATCGAGTGGGAATACTGATGAAGGAATCATACAAGATTTTTCTGGATGATAGTGCCTTATCTTTGACTTTGATAATAAGTTTTCATTATTTATATAGATTGCTCATATTGAAAGAAAAACAATCATAAACTTTTCAGAAAACAGAAACAACATTTTTAAAGCAATGCTATTGTTGTTATGTTTAAAAAGTAGTGCCAACGATTTGAGCATTAATAATATTTATAACAATAGAAAGTTATATTTTTAAAATTTAGTGAAGCTATCTACATATAAAATGCCTGACACTCAAGAAAAATCAAAAGGGGCTAATGGTGCAATTATATAACATAAAAGTCATTTCCTGCTAAGTTGTCTTCTTCTTTCCTTGATGGTATGTTTTCTACAAAGCCTGAACCAGTTTACTGGGGCAGGAGTTACATGCTTTACAATTGAAAAATTCACTTAATTCAATTATTAAGTTATGAAGAGAGTAATAAAAGTGCAGTTCTAATTGTGTTTTTTGTACTTTACTATAATGAACTCTGTTATTGATCTTATCTGCATAAAGTTATTGGTAAGACGTGAGATATGTGTTTATGTATTTCCATACCTGTGAGAGCTCATGAAAAAAGCTATTAGATTATTTTTTATACTTCTAGCACTCTCGGCATAATTAATTTCTAGCTTTGAATCGTTGTAAATACAAATTGCTATTGTAGTAAATGTGCAAAAATTAAAACTGTTTCATAAATGACGCGTTGACTATTTTTCATATTGACAGATGAAATGTGCTTTGTAAACATTCATTAAAAGGAAGTAAAAATTACCAGCTCTTCTATAGGGGTAATAATGACAAATAAATCGTTTATTTTCAAAACAATATATATTTATACGTTTGAAATGTGTTTCTAGTCAGCTACAATAGCTAAATAATCATCTGTTATATAATTTAACCATGTACTATCAAATAAAGTACAAGTGAAAGAAAGCCACAACTTAAGAGATCAGTGTATATTTATCTAATAGTTAAAACATTGTTATTGTATTTCTAAAAACATTTTATCTTGTTTTTGTGTGTAATATACAGAGAAAGAATAATAAATACTGTATTTTCGCTAAACATTCCTTTATCAATAATATTCCTCAAACAGGTTCACATATCAGAGGTAATGATAAAGATTACATTAAATTTGGATTTTGCACTTTTAGAAGAGCTAGAACATAGAATTGTATTGCTGGGTAGCCTTGATTTTTAAATTGCTTCTTCAAAACAATCATACTTTGAAACCCGACAAAAAAGAAACCTATCATTCTATAGGTATTTGAAGTACTTGTAGCATTCCGCCACAGTTTAATTCTTCGTATTGTTAGCCGACACTAGACAGCTGGTACATAATTGAATACAGTTGTTTAAACATCAACAAGTAAAAGCTTGGAATGGTCTATTCTCTCATTGGGGGTGTGTCTGTGAGCCAAACTAGTTTCGGAGAATATCACCCCTCACCAGTGACCCTGGACATAATGTTGGTGTTATGTTTGTCATTGTAGTTCCTACATAGTATGGATTTTAGTTTTGTGCCCAGTTTTGTTGTAAGTCTTTTCCAAATGTTGATTTTATCGCTAATATCGGGAATATACTGTTACGCCTCCAGTCGTTAGTTAATTTTCCGTAAATTCGTTCCGACGAAACTTCAGCGACACAAGTCCTTTATTAAATAAAACTGGTTTATTCTTTCCGAATACAACTTTACGATACACTTAACTTCAACAGTCGCTCTATAACAACGCTATGTCTCACGTGGCCAACAATATTTTGTCCGCATACATTCAATTACTCATTACACTGTTCCCCGTCACGTTGTGAACGTCTTATGTATATAAGACTAACACATATCTAGTAAATGCTAGGGCATTCTTGAAGGAACAGGATATTTCTAGAAAGAGGTGGCGTGATACTAGTCACGTGACTTCGCTGACGCAACAATATGTTATAACTTAAAAATAATTAATAAGTCACA